CATTCCCACAGCAATATTAAAACACAGCTTTTTTATTTGTATGCACCATTTTAACACTGCCTCAATAATAATATATAATAATAAGTGATTATGAAGTGATGTAGACATATTTTTTAGAGTGGAACAATTAAAGGCTCTGTATAAGTATCATTATAGTAGTATAAGTAGATTATATGAATATTATGGATATGGTAAATCCCACAGAAAAGGTTTTATCATAATACGTGTATCATTCGTTCATTTGTTTTTCAATATAAAACCAAAAATGAGAAAATGATAAAACAACTGTTTTCTTCATTATTTGTCTCCAAAACCAAAATGAAGAAATAGATAATGATTAGTTTTTTCAGTTTTCAATTTTGTGTTTAAATGAAGAATGGAAAAAACAGATAACGGCAGTTTCCCGTTTACGTGACTTCCGTGATTGCGATGCCGGACTGAACCAGGACTGATCCAGGTCTGGGACCAGACTGGAACCAGACTGGAACTAGACTGGGACTGAGACCGAGATCAGGCCGGGACCAGACCGGGACCAGACCGAGACTGAGACTAGAGCGGGACCAGACCGGGACAAGACCGAGACCAGACCGGGACCAGACCGAGACCAGGCCGGGACCAGATCGAGACCAGACCGAGACTGAGACCAGAGCGGGACCAGACCGGAGGCTCAGAGCCCATGGCAGGGCCGGAGCTCAAAGCTGAGGCTCGGAGTCAAAGCTCGGAGTCCGCTCTGGTCCTGCTCTGGTCCCAGTCTCAGTTCTGATCTCAGTCCCAGTCTGGTCCCGGTCTGGTCTCGCTCTGGTCCCGGTCTGGTCCCAGACCTGGATCAGTCCTGGTTCAGTCCGACATCGCAATCACGGAAGTCACGGAAACGGGAAACTGCCGTTATCTGTTTTTTCCATTTTCCATTAAAACACAAAATCGAAAACTAAAAAAACAAATCATTATCTGTTTTTTCATTTTGGTTTTTGAGACAAATAATGAAGAAAATAGTTGTTTTTTCGTTTTCTTATTTTTGGTTTTATATTGAAAAACGAATGAACAAATGATACACGAATCTATGCTTTTTAAAGACATTACATTTACTTATATTTATTTTCTGGAGACTTAGCCATAGTCACTACTCATCTGACCTTAACCTAAACCCTGACTTATTTAAACCGTATCTAAACTTTAAACTTTAATGTTGGGGACCTGATTTTTGTCCCTATAATAAACATCGTAATATATTTTAATTCTAAGCTTCTTTCAAAACACCCAACTGTACAGAACAACATAATTACACCGACAATGCAATACAAAACCCGATGACGGTGTAATAGTCATCGTTTCTGTGGTGTAGAATTGTCTGAACAGGTAATGAGGCAAGTCCCCGTCATGTAAGTGTGTGTGTATGCAGATTTTAATCCCTAAAATGTGATAAATACACCCGTCACTAAACTGGGTCTAAACCGGAATGAAACCTGAACTAGACAAAGACTAAACCAAGACAAGCTGGATGAAAAGAGGTCTATATCAGGACTAATAATCAGAGCCAAAAATCTAGTATGTCATTTATGTACAATAAGTTAAAGCGGTGGAGTGGAGGAAGTAAAAAACAGAAGTTGTAAAGGCAAACCTCACTGGCAAAACAACAGTGAATGAACTATCCAGAGGCATGAAGCAATGAAAGACATTCACAACAGCTGATATGTTATTTTAAGTACCATACATGTTATAGAAGAATGACTCTAGGGTTGATACTATTCCAAGCATCTATACAGGGGCATGTATGTACGTAGTATGTATATGTAGCCAACTAAGTACATACTGCTAGTACACTTTAGTAATACTTGCCAAAAAGCTTCAGTTAAGTGACTAGGTGAAGCCTAAAATAGCTTAGTAGAATTAAATACTGAAACATATTTTAAAAACCCATGTGCTGAATTGACTGAAGGATCAAACTTTGAAATTACAGCAATGGACAGATATAATGGAGGAAATTTACGTGATGGAAAAAATAACTTATTATTTGAGACTGAAAGCTGGTAAATTTGTGAAGCGATGGTCAAAATGGTCTATTTACAAAGCTCACTCCAATGTATAAGGTATTTTATTTTTCTATCTTTTTTTTTTTTGTAGAACCCCAAAGATATGTTGATGATATAATGTATATTTGTTAAATTTTTTGTGCTTAGAAAAAATTCATGTTTACAAACAAATTGTATTAGAAACAACATTTGATTATGAAATCCATAAACTAATATTATTTAATATCATGATTATATTATGATAGACTAATTTAAAGCCACATTATGTACCTTTTAAGCCAAAATGCATGTTTTGTTTGTTTTTCCTTCATTTTGGTTGTGCGTACTAGGCTGAAAATCTGAAAATATTCTTAATCTGAACAAGTTTGCATCTCCACAAGTGTAACTCCACATGGAAATGTTGGATATAATGTTCAACGATATGGCATAAAACATACCTATCGTCTCACAGAATGTTCCGAAGTATGATTTTAACTTTCTACAGTGTTCCAAGGAAATCAAGCAGGTGACCATACCACCTCCAGAAAGTTATTGTACATAAACCAACACAAGGTAATATAAGTATACTGTAAACTAGACTGTAATTACCGGAAGTTCAAAGTCCTATTTTAAGCACATTACAACTGCTTTGATCCATAAACACCAACCTTACACTGATTTCTATCCACAAACAAAACACATTAAAACAACAGCAGAATTAGACGACCTAGTAACAATTGTTCAAAAATATCCAGCACTAGCCCTGTCTATGGACCAGGTTTATTAAAATGTGCATTCAAATCCTCTTATGAGTTAAAGCACCATTGCAGACACCAGCAGCTGGTAAAGAAGAACAAGGAGCTGAGAGAACCATAGTGGCAGGTGCACACGACTAAGCCTTAAGTGGCCCCCGGAGCATTGTGGGTAATGACTGCCACTGAACCAGGTCTAAAAAGGTTCAGCAGTCCTTGGTTGAACGCGCTGCATACAACCTCTATCAGGGATTTCAAAGCAGCTCCTATTAGCATTATATTTGCTGAGCTCTACCTTGTTACTAAAACATTGGACCTTGTTGCATATTCTGTTTGACTTTTTTGCCTTTTTTATCTTTCATGCCGCACGAGGATCAAACCTGAATATTCGTCACATTGGAAGAGATAACCGTGTTTTTAACTGTAAGACTAATTTGTTCAGAAATTTGAAGTCTATTTGCAATTAAAATGTACCTGCTAAAATTAGTATCTGAGTGAGCAGAATGTATGTCCTCAAAAGTACAAGTACGCTTACAATATGGATAAACAAAAAAATATATAGCTATAACCAAAAATTGTACTGTCTGTAAGTATTGTAATTTAAGAGTGTAGTTAGAAATCATACGCATCTGGAAGATATTTTCTAACAGCTAAATAATAGAAGTTCAAGATATGTGTGGTTGAATCTGATCAGTATCATAAATATAGCTCACGTTGTCTGATTCCAGGCAGTTATTAAAATTTTAAGAAAAAATGCAATTTCAACACCAAAGATCCTGTATTACACAACATTGTTTCTTGTGAATTTGTGAGCTAACTAATCAAAAACATACCCGGAGCTGTGTTTTGTTTCATTCACACATGTTTGAGGAATTTTTTATTATTAGTTTGTCTACATCTGCAAAGCTCAAAATGCTCTCTTCCACCTTCAAGTAAACAGCTCCTTTTACCTTTAGTTCAGAAGAGATTGGCATTTCCGGGGTTGAAATTATCCAAATGATTCTAGTGAAGGTGTATGGAGTTTAAGAACACAGTGGAGCACTTCCTGTATTACGACCATGACATCACAAGGTGGAACTGAGTGTTTTTTGTTTGAGAGAAGAACTCAGCCTAAATATGCAGGGTCTAGGTTTTCAACATGTGTGAATGAAACAAAACATAACTCCAGGTCTGTTTTTGATGAGGAAGCAACATTATAACATAGATCAGAAAATGGCATAATATTGGCCCTAAATAACAGTATTTTAGTATTTTCTTTTATAACTCCATGTGGTGTTAATTTATGTAATCCCAGACCTGCCCAGGTAGGTTCCATAGTGGTTCATGGATTTATACTAATCTTTGTGCTCTTATACTTTTTCTGATACCAGAGGTGGGGACTAGTCACTATTTTTAAGACTTGAGACTTGACTTGATAAACCTGAACTAAGACTTGGGACTCGACTTGGACTTTAAGGTCAGTGACTTGGGACTTGATTCAGACTTGAGGTTTGTGACTTCAGAAGACTTGGGAAGCACTTTTAAATCTGAATTCTTTCTATTCTGACCATAATGATTCACACTAAGATCTTGTCAAGACATTTAAAAAGGAAAAAAGAACTAAAATAATTTCTACAACTCTTACATACTCTATAAATATTCATATATAAATATACCATGACTTTTTAAGTACAAGTTAGTTTAAAATGTATATAAATTGCAAAAATCTAAGATACATCTGGTACTTCGGTTTAAAGATTTGAAATGACTTGAAGCTCAAAGCAGATGACTTGGACTTGACTTGGACTTATGGGCCAGTGACTCGAGACTCGACTTGGACTTGCCTGTATTTGACTTGGGACTTGACTCGGATTTGAGGTCAACAACTTGAGGCTTACTTAAGACTTGTAAAACGATGACTTGATCCCAACTCTGTCTGATCCAGCTCCAGATCTTTCTAAAGTTTTTCAGGAAAGGTTCATTTTTGTCCTGCTGTACTTTTTTAATACTGATACTTGTTCGAGTATCTAGTTTTGATATAAGTTCCAGTATTGCTTAGTACCAGATTTTGACAAGCCTAATAGGAATAAAATATACAAAAACACTCTAGTCTTGGTTCATCTTGAGATCACGTGTTGTCTACTGGCGCCATATGACCGCTCGTACATTTGTTTGGACATGTGACAGATCATGTTTATGTACTGTGCCATAACAGTTATCAGAGTATTTCATGTACGTCACGTGTGGGGGTTGTACTCACACAGACTTCAGCAGAACTGCCTGGTCTTCCATCCCTGAGGAGTCCCATCTGCAGGAGGGAGCCAGCGGATCTGAACACACACACACACACACACATGATCAGATGAACACGTGGAACATCAAAACGCTCAATACTGCTTTTGTTAAAGGGGAACTATGGATGTACTAGCATTTTCACAATACTAAAATCTCAAACTTTTCAATTTCAATATTAAAGAATACACTCGATACTTGATGTAGATGAGGTGCTCTATGTAACTTTTTGGTTGGGGGCTTGTTTCTATGGTTATGTAATTACTCAGGATTCCCATTCTTTTTCACTGACAAAATTTCAAAACGTTTCCGTGACTTTTTCATGACCTAAAGTGAATTTTCCATGACTTTGAGCATACCTTGATCAGACTTTTAGGGCTAAATATGAAATGTTAACCCTTTCCACTCACCTTATGGTCTGGTATTATAGTTCTTTAACACTCAAAATACTGTCAGTGCATTTATTGTCGTCTCTTTTAAACAAAAGGTGCATACATTCGGAAATAATCATAATAACCTAATGATAACTTAACAGAATGCTATAGCTGTGGGAAAAAGATATTAAAATTCTTGACTTTTTCAAAACTTTCATTGAATTTACAAAATTCCATGACTTTTTCAGGCCTGGAAAATGACATTTTGAATTTCCATGATTTTTCCAGGATTTCCATGACAGTGGGAACCCTGTATTCTGCCTGGAATGTTCCACAGTATGACATTAAACAGCTATACTTTACATTTATCCAACTACATGTGGTTTTATAGCTCAAAAATACTTAGAAAAACAGATATTCTGACTGTGAGAGGGTCGCTTCTCCACAGATCTGACCTGTAACTTGGTCTTGTTTGGCCTCCATGAAGATAGAAAGGTTTAATGTCATATAGTGAAACATTCCAGACGAAGCAATAACATGTATATGCAGAAAAGCTTTGAATGGACCCTCCACCAGAAAATTTACATAATAGAACTTTTAAAAATACTTCTGTTTTAGTAATAGAATGTAAAAATGCAAAATAATAGTGCTTTCTTTATGTTACCACTAGGCCTTACACTTGTTCTAATGAAGTTAAAGTTCTTGAAAGCTAAAATTTTGCCCTGTTAATGTGATTTTTTTTGCAGTTCAAATGAGTATACTCTTTCGACATTAGTTAACATATGGATTTGAGTCTATTTTTTTGATATTTTTGCCAACCGTAGTATGTCTTGCGTGTTGAAATGTTCCACAGACAGCGTTTAACTTATCTCTGTGGAGACAAGCAGGTCAAATCATAGTAGGGACGCGTGTTTTCCAAGGTAGTTTTGCAATAAAAAAAAAAATAATACTTTTTAAATGTAAGATAGTTATAGTTAAGTTTATTCCCAACAAAGCAACAAAAACATGATGAACCAACCACCATAAAAGTTAAATAGTTCATCTTTAACAGCGCAATAAGCAGGGATGTCACAATATCAAAATTTAGTGTTTGTATTTTTGGATTTTTTCGTTCTTACAATAATGTTGAGACCAGATCCTGATCATCTTGATAGAAGTAAACGAGCTCTCAAACTAACCCTTTACCCTAGTGAACACAGCTGGACTTTTGCTGTGTTCACTAGCATAGTTCCAATCCGAAAAAAAAACTTACGCCGCCTACAAATGTTTTACAAATTATCAATCAATGTGACATTTATTTATCCATGAAAGGGTTTTGTTTTTTGACAGTCATGTGAAGCTATTGCTAACAGAACTAGACTGGAGCTGGAGGACTACAGACGGCCACATTATGCTGACCTACCAACGAACTGTAATAAACGTACCAGCCCTGACAATAAAATAAAAGTGATATATTCTTACAATGTATTATGTCCATATGCATCTCTATTGACTCCAGCAGTTTGAAGAGCTCCCCAGAATGCCATGCTTAATGCCATTACCAGATAAAAGCCATGATTACCACAGTGACTAATGGGAGCACGGGACACTATTATAGATTTTTTTTTTCTCTTTATGTTAGGTCTGTGTTCAAGCATACAAATACTTGCTTGGCGTTGCTTGGAAAGGGTAAATCTATGTTAGAAATATCAAGACACAAAATCAGAGAAATGTGTAATCTTATCATTTTAAAATAATAACCCACATTCAGACTTTCAGATGTTTTCATTTGAGCAGAACTGCAATTTATAGGAGCACCATGTCACTTTTCAAGCAAAGGGTCCGCTACCTGCTAATCTCCATGGCGATGTGATTGCAGCTTTACCTGAAATGTTCCTCTATATGGCTTTAAACAGACAGTGTCTACCTCTAACTCACCTGACTGTCTCCACGGACACGAATAAGGTTAATGCAATATTGTAAAACAGTCAAAGTAAAGCATTAACATCACCATGGAGACAAACAAAAATAATACAAAGTGCGCCTTTAACTATATTAAATGTTTGTGACTTATTACTTTAGTGCAGACATGTCAAACTCAGGCCTGGGATCCAAATTTGGCCCGTGATATCATTATATTTGGCCCACAAGATCATATCAAATATGTATTCGAGGTGACCCGCTGGCTACAGATCCGCTATAGAGACATTATTTATTTAAAATTTTGTATTATTTTATATTATGCTTGTTCTGGATTCAGTGTTTAAGCAAAACTATTATGAAACATTTATTTTAAAAAGAAAAGGTTTGACATTACATATCTCAAAAGAAGAGAACACATGCAGATGTTGTTGAAATTTTTCAATAAATATTTAGTTTGGCTCACGACATAGTCCCAGTTTTTACTTTTGGCCCTCTGTGAATTTGAGTTTCACAGCCCTGCTTTAGTGCATTGACACTTTATTGCTACAAATTAATTAGAGATGCATCAATCTGAAACTGGTATCGGATATCTGTGCCAACACTTGAAAATTTGCTGGTTCGGACACTGGCTTTCAAATACCAGTTCAGTCGATCTCCTGGTTGGACATACACAGTACATTAACACTATTTGCTGGTCATAGTTGGCCCAGAAAGTCATTTTTATTTTTAAACAAAGCAGTTCTGTAGTTCATTGTTTCCAAAAGATCCCAAAGGTCACACGAGATTGTTTTTGGGTCTCCTTGTCACGATCTGCATGTAGGTCTGCAAAATACATTTCTGACACATGTTGAAATATTAAGACATGTTTTGTATGATTTCAAATCTTTTTGTAATTATTTTATTGACTATTTTGTTCCAATGTTGCTGGTTCTTGAATGTTGAAAAGAAAAAGAAATGGGCCAAAGTTATTGTCCAAATAGGCAACTTGTGGTTCAATGTTTTTCATTGTTTAAAACTTGAGTAATTCTAATTGTTCAGAGAGACACGATCACTCAGTCAATAATAAAATATCCTCATTAATGTTCAATAATGGTCAAATCCACCTTTATTTTGTGATTTATTTTGTGATTTATTTTGTGATACGGTTACGAAGGTTTGTGACTTTTAAAATATGGGTCCCCAGAAATTTTTTTTGGGAAGCACTGCTGTAGTTCCTTGAGAGATAAATAACACCTACATAACATATTTAGATCAGTTTTGTCTTATTTTTTAGTTTTTTTAAGGAAATAAATGCTGTTTTGGCCTCTACAATGGTACCAGCTGATATCGGTTTTTGGCAGATATATAAAGTCATAGAATAAAAATCTGTATTGAATTAAAAAACCTGGATTGGTGCATCCCTAAAATAAATTTTAAGGTAATTACTGTAGCTACAGATCTCCATAGCTATATTATTGATATATGTTCAGTTGTTATATGGGGATTTAAAGCATGTGATGTTGTAAAGCCCTTGTTTTTCTTGCATGATGTAGCTACATGAACAAGCTTCACCTCTCCCTAAAACGCCAGCTAGACACTTTGAGCACATTTATATTCTGACATCATGTGAGCTCCTGACTTAGCTTTGGGCCCTTTGTGCTTAAATAACTCTATATGAAAGATATGGAAATACAAAAGATGAAAGGAGAACTATCCAGAAATGAAATCTCCTTTTGAGGCTGGATATACTTTGGGCCTGGAATACGTTAGGGATCGATAAGAGCTTGAAAACCTATCGGCAAAACAAAAATGTGAAACCATAGAAGGCACAAATGCTTCGTGAGAGGAGATCGATGTTGAACTCTTGACGTGAGCTCACAGAGGAGCAGGGGCAGATTACAGAGCCGACATAACGAGCAGCGCAGTGTAAGCTTTAATTAATGATGCTGTAATAATAATGCCAGTTTTCACACATGATTTTGTGAGGTGCGATGTCCGGTAATTGGGGAAAAGTCACAAAGAAAAATCATTAATTCGAGGGTTGTGTATTGCCGATGAAAATGGTGCTTTTATCTTTATGAAACTTCATGCCTTGAATCCATGCCAGGTAAACTAAATATGATAAGAATTACCTGCAGATACAGGATATTAAAGCAACTTCTGATATTACCTGCAAAAAATATGATGTAATTTTGTTGGTCCGTCTCCATGGAGATAGTATTGCTTGGCCTGGAATGTTCCACAGTGGGGAATTAAATTTGTCTACCTCCGTAAAAACAAGAAAGTGATACCACCAGGCCAAGTTACAGCCAGGTCAGATCTGCAGAGGTGCGAGTGCCTCCACAGTAAGAATTCATGCTTTTCAGGGGACCAATAAAAACCTTAATTTCAAAAATGCTTCGTAGAAACTTTTAATGAAAGTGAACACTCAAATTAAAGCTGTAATTTATGTCATTTTATACAGATATCAGTCCAATATATTCCCCTACTCATATAACAGTCTATCTCTATTGGTCTAATCTACATTTTATTTTTCTTTCAATACCTCCCTCTAGAGCGATAGTGATTAAGAATAGAATCGTGACTTCATCTCTGTGAAAGTCGGCTTTTTTGGGTAAAATCGTCACATTGCACCTTCCCATCTTGTTAGATACTTTCAGACTTCACTTGCTATTCAACTTTACCGCTACAGAATTTGCCGTTTACTTCTCCTGTTGCAAGATGCCATCTCCTCTTACACTGGAACTCTACAAATACCCCATCCAACACTTAATGGATTAATGAAGTTATGTCCTTTTTGGAAAATAGAGAAGATTAGGTACTCCAAGAAAGGTTATGTAAATAAATTTTTTTGATAGTGACAACAATTTATTGACTTTTTTGAAACCTGAAACTTTTTTTTTTTACTTTTTATTATTATTACTACAATTTTTATTTGATTATTGTTATTATTTTTTTTAATTAGTTTTTTTATTTGTTATTCATAAAAGTTGTATATTTATTATCATTCTGTTATTATTATCATTAAATTGTATGATGCTACTGATACTTCTTGAGTGATTTGTTTTTATTAGTTTTGTATTCACGTAAAAATGAAAAAAGTGTGTGTACATGTGTGGTTTGAATCTATATCTGTTTACACATGAATAAAAACATGAAACTGAAAATCATCACATCGCAAATCACAGAGTTTCTCTTGAACGCAGGTCTAAGCTCAAACAGACACTTTTCCCACCTGGACTTCCTCTAGGTCAGTCTCGGTAATGCTCTGAGAGAGTGACAGGTGGATTTAGCCAGTTGCAATGATTTGTGAAGTTTTCAGAAGAGCCAGATCACTATTTTGATTTTAAGAAAATTGTGATATTAATTTTTTTGCATATCGCCCATCCCTATTTCCCTTCCCTGGTGATTTGCCTGTGGTGATATGAGATGTGACAGTAGACACACAGGCGCTGCAGGCGCTGCAGGTGGTGCAGGTGGCTGGGTGCTCTGGGTGCTCTGGGCCTTTGGGTGCTTTTACCTGGGCGTGGAGCGAGGAGGGGTAGGTGAAAGCAGGAGGGAGGGCCGGCGACAGCTCGGCCGGGTACAGCGGGTATGACGCCCACACGTCTGGGCTGCTGGGATAGAGAGCGGGCACTGTGAGCTCATCTGTGGAAAGAACAAGAAGAGGAGGAGTGCGGTGAGGAGGGCGAAGGGCGGGTGGGTGCTGGCAGAGGTGAGACATGGGTGACAATAATCTGAACTAGCTTCCTCGTGCCAACCTTTAGAGGAAGAAAACCAAGTGTGATGTTTTACCAGTGAGTGCAAAGAAGGGTGACAAAGGCCAGTGCTACAAAGTGAGCTCCAAAGAAAACACAATATGCTTTTTCTGGTATTTGGAAATAAGTTACAAGCATGAAAATTATTATATAAACATTTTGTTCAATGTTAATCGTAATACAGAACCATAAAGGGCCTGCAGATGGAAGGTAGCAGGAGATAAAGCTGGCACAAATGATTTCTTTTTTTTTTATTACATATGTTGATCATTAGTTTAGATTTATCCACTGTAAGCTGTAATAGTGACCTAAAACTTGCTGATAGAAACTGGTCTATTGACTTCCTGTTCAAATCTGCAGAACAGATTATCTGCTCTTAACCCCGCCTCTTCAGAGATTAGCATTTCACTGTAGCAAGCAGCAGAATTCATTTTCATGTTTTTACTTTCGAGAAATTGCTTCATTTTGAACCCTTGTGTATTTCTGGGCGGGGATAGGTGGCAGGTGAAAATGTAAATGCAGGACAATGGAGCTCAACAGTGACCAGCTGCTCTGTAGTAAAGTAAATTTTCTATTCATTTTCCCCATAGACTTTTTAAAAACTCCAAATATTAAGTATTCAAAGACAAAGAAGTTAACCAGCTATGTGGTAATATACATAACATCTAGGACTGGGCTGTAAAACGGTATTATGGTATCCAGCAGTATCAAAAAGCAGCAACGGTATCAGTTTCATTACCATCATTTTAAAAATCTGCAGCACATAAGGACCTAATATAACATTATAATTTATTGATACTTATATTTGTTTGCTCAGCACAAATGAATGTGTGGTTGTATTTTCAATTTAATGCTATCACAATTTAAAACTAATAGTGTCTATACTGTTTCTTTTAACTGCGTGGGGAGATGAGATGACATTTGATTAGTTTCGTTCCATTACATGACAGCTCATAAGGGAAACCAAGACAAGATGGCAAGGCGGGTTGTAAAAAATAAAAAAAAAACTAGTACTTCTGCAATTTGGCAGCATTTTGGCTTCAGGTGCACATTTGTTTATGTTTTTTTAGAAATGAAACTTAAAACCACATGGCTCATTTGTATAAACTATAATGTGCTGATAAAAACAGCTCTTTCGTTGTGCGCTGATGCAGTTCAGCTTCTGTCGGACTGAAGGACACGACTCAGTGGATTATATGTGTTCTTTTGTGACAGAGGATGTGCTGCTGATGGTGAATCTGTTCTGTGCGTGTATCCTGTTGGAGATGGTTCACGTGAAACTTTTCAGAGATTATAAATCTGCAGGTCATACACATAGACCATATAGTGGTGCGGCTTCGTAGTACTAAAATCTTACTAAAACATTTTGCTAATATGGTAATACTGAATAATCCTGAGAAGGTTTAACAGTATTAAAATTTGGATACGGCCCAACCCTAACAACACCGTTGTTTTAAGTCCAAAAGGCACATTTAAAATGAAAGATTTCCAAAACTGATTTTAAATAAAAGTGCTGTGATGATTAGGTGCCACATAGCTGAACTTATTTCTTTTTTTTTTTCAGAAAGTCTATGGGAAAAGCAGTGGTGGCTGGTCACTGTTGACTCCGTACTTAAACATGCATGAATCAACACTGAGCAATGTAATGACATGGGAACACTATTATAACGGTAAAACCACATAAAAGGTTTACGTAGCATGTTTCTTTTAAAATGCAGGAAATAAATCATACTGCCCAATTTTGAGAAACATTTCCCTGTGCACCCCTGTGTCGCCTGGTAACAACTTATCAAAGCTTGATCAGAAAAATGCCAGATTTGAGCACGCCTTATCAGGAAATGACAGCAATTTCTCTCCTTCAGATTACGTCATGCTTTCATTAATGGTTTCCTTCCATGCTCCCATAGTACGCACACCCTGCTCTCTGCCAATAAGAAAACACACGCATACACACACACACACACGCAAATGTACACACACTTTCCAGATAAGAGCCATTTGGTCATTGCAATGGAATGCACTACCACAGCTGGCCTATGTTCAACCATCGATGCCTGATTCCTGCTAAATACTTAACCACTTGAAAAATGTTTAACTTAATGGGGGAAAGGTACAAGGCTGCATTAGCAAATTTCACTCACAGGCTTAAACTACAGAGAAATCATTAATCTAGGTCCAATAATGTAAAATGAAATTCACTGAAAAGATGTGTGGGTAGTTGATTAAAAAAAAAATAGGTGTTACATTTTCTAGTTAAAGGTTGAGATAATTTGTGAGATTCATCAGCCATTTTCACTTCGTGGAAACCGTCTGACTTCGCAGCATTAGAATCCATTGGCTTGACGGTAGGCGAGTACTTTTTTTTTATTTAACCAAACGCTGATATTTGGTCAAGCTTTTCCCAAATCCTGTACGAAGAAGGGCAATAACGTCTTTCCCCTTGATAAAATTCACCAAACATTCTCTTTGTTCCGGCTTTAAATCCTCGATCTCGGGAATCGTTGCCAACACAGAATGTATGGCTTTGTCTGCATCCATCTCGACCGCTTTGTTTACTGTTGTGCTGTACCATAAAAGGGACCCAGACAGGCGCTTGAATTTGACGTCATGGCTTCATAGCTCTTCACTGATTGGCCAATGTGCAGTCTACAACTTCCAGGGTTCTTGCAAACTGTCTAATGGATTCTGATTCCTGACCTATTTGCTGGAGAGAAATTAAATTGAGCGGAGGCACTAAGTGGCACCAGCCTGACTATGAGATCATTTGAATATAAATGAGATTCTAAGAAATCAGTGAAAGGCCAAAAGAAAAGAGGAAGTACATTAGAACTTCTATTAAAACATCCTCTCTATATTTTAACAATTTCAGATGAAAACCATTTCCTCCTAACTAGAATCTATCGCCATCATCGTCATGTGCAGATACAAATAAAAATGATTCAGCTAAACTCCAATACTGTAAACCAGCAATAACCCAGAGTGTAGAGTTGCTATTAATACAATCATGATTCTCTGATGAGCCACCACTTTTTATAGGCCCTGTCTTCAGATTCATTTCAGGTCACAGCTGGAAGACTACAATAAAGCCAAACAGGCCTAAAAACTAAAACCGAAAAGCACCTGGGGTTTCAAAGTGCAGATGACGTGTCAGACTGCTCATTACGCTAAAGCAGTGTTATGATAAACATAGAGGTAATTCCATAATAGTTACTTCGCAACCAGCATGTTAACAATGAGCGTCATGATTAGACTAATGAAAAAAAGAAAAATACAACACTTTGATTTGTTAAATGACGGCTTAAACAATCAGAAATGCCTTACTTTTGCGTAAGTTCCCTCTGTGTTTTGTGTGGAATTGGTTGTGGTTTTAGAACTCGCCGCTACTTCTTGTATTTTTGTAATTTTTCTCCTCAACTTTTGTCCACAAACTGCCGCTTAAGCAATATAAAACTATGATACCACATACATTACCACAGTCAGAGTTATCCTATCAAACCAAGTGATAATTAGAAAGACATTAAACCCCTTCAGATCTATTTTAAAAGCAGTATCCGTAGCGCTGGAGGCTGTACTCACATGGATCTCTGCTGATGAACTGTGGTCCAGGGCTCTGCTGGGACGGAGGGGGGTTTGGAGTGCCAACCAGCTTGTTCTTGGCCATTTTGGTGTTGGCCTTGGCGAACTCCAGCCGCAGCGTTTGGGGTATTTCTGGATCGAATCGGACGCCCTGCGATCAAAGCAAAAGGAGCACAAGTGGTCAGAGGGAAAAATGGCTTCGTACAAAAGGCTTTCAGCGTAGTTTTATGGAGCTGATCAAAGCTCGTAGTGGAGCACGCTATTAACTGTGCAAAACCACAGGAATTACTATAAAATCATCGCTATTTACTTTGTCAAAATTTACTTTCAACGCAATTTCCAAGAACAACGTCATAACCTTTTACAGTGTGCTTTATTTGACCGGTAACACTTTTCGCTAAGAAAAAGTATTCGTCAAATTTACTTATTTACAAGCCTGTGCTACTACAAGCTGGTTTCTTGGAAGACTGTTTAAAGACAACCCTTGAGTCTGACTGTAAGAGAGATTAGGGTTCACCACATGACCACTCTTAATAAGGTTAAAGATTAGTTTGGCAATGCTTCGCTATGGAAAGACTAGCCTCATAAAGAATTGTTTTTTTCTCTTTACCACTCTACTAATGATGCTATATATAATGACAGACCTCACATGCTGCTTGAAGGCGGGGTACGCTGCTTTACTCTGCTACGCTCTTGCCTATAAGCTCTGCAGTGACCATTCTGCCCACATGCTGATAAAATGTTTCAGGTCTGGCAACAATTTTGAGCCATTGAGAACAGCCTGGGAAACTTTGTAAAGAAATCGCTAGCTCATCTTTAAGTGTCAGAGAATACCAGGAAGTAGACGAAATGGCTTTAGCTGCACATTCTTGACTCAACTACAATGAAGGAATGTTTTTTGAAAGGATTACCTAAATACTAAAACAAGTGACAAAGCAAAGTACATGTTTGAATACGTCTTCATGCTGTAAAAACAATAAATATAAATAGGGAAACGTTTGTCTGCATAATTTTAGAAAGAAACTATGGAAGAATTAAAAAATATGATCATTTGAAAATAGTTTTTTGTATTGATACTGTAAAAAAACACACACATAAATAGACAGAATAAGACATTTTAATAAGACACTTTAAGACCCCATGGAACTATTTAAAAACTACTACGATTATGTAAGGATGTGACAAAAACTGAAATATCGTGATAATGTATCATCAAAAAGTCTCTCAATAATATCGTGGGCCATCACAACATATCAAATTCTAAGTCTCTTTACTTAAATGAATAGTTTTGGTGCAGCAATAGCTAAAAGAAACACAGGGAATTACATAGACCATGATCCTTTGCTCCGTTTCAGTCCAATTTACACATGAAACAACTGTTTTTAAGCACTTTTAAATGTTAACTCTTTGGGTTATGACAGAACCAAAGGCTGGTAAAGGCATATTTAAATAAAAAAAGTAGTATATTCACAGTTTTGTTAGTTGTAGTAAATAGTGTACCGCAAGATTGTGAAAATATCATACTGAAAGTTTTGGATATTGTGACATCTCTACTAAAATTACATTAGTATTGAAACTGTTATTGCGTATCAAGCTTTAGCCTTAGTATTGATATCAAAATTGAAATTTAGTCTAGTGACAACACCATTCCAGTATGTATTTTGTTGTAATCGATTCTCACCGGATTAGCGAGTTATTTTTGTTTTTATGTTTGTGATGACAGACGAAATTCGCAAATGAAAAACAGAACAAACTTGGCTTGATGTTACTGTGGACTCTGGGTCGTGGGCCAAAAGGGTCTCTCTACAATACCTACTGAACTCTATAACTGTAATGTAATATCAAACTTTAAATCCTGTGTTTGGCTGAAGCGACAGCGAGGAGCAGTGTTCAGGCCATAAATACTAGCGAGGTGTTGGGATGCTGCTGTTGGATGACTTTGGACATAGCAGGGTCCATATTAAGCAGCAAATGCATCCTCCAAAAGGGCTGTGTTAACATTACAGTACTATAGTGTGTGTTTTAATCATGTATTTTAAAGTGATTTTGTTTAACTATATAACTAGACATTTTTCTTTACCCGTGAATTACTCACATTGTTTACTTTGCAACAGAAAGACAAAAAATAGTTAAGTTCTCAGAATGTTTGTGCTTACTGCATTAAAAAATAGCATTAGAGCGCATTTTTAGTTCATTTTACTTCTAACAATCTTATTTGTCTTCCTTCCCGAGCCTTGACACATATATTTAATTGAATAAATAAACGGATGGATTCCAGAGCTGTGTTTCCCAACGAGAAAAGACTACTGCTTGTAGTCAGCCCAGAAAGTCTCATAATGTTCGAATTTGTATTTATACAAAGCTGTTCCGTAGTTACTTCTGAGATAAATAACTGTTGCATAACACATTTGGTCTTTACTCTGGTATTGGCTGACATCAGCAGATACTTAAAGCTAAAGTATCTGAATCTATATTGGAACTGAAAAAGCTGGACAGGTGAAACCCTAGTTTTTGAAGGACAATTTTAATATAAATATAATTAAAACAAGAACGCATAATAGTAATAATTGTTACTGTACTATTAGCAAATGAGGAACAAAAAACTTTGAGAACTAGTGTAATGTCAAGTACTCAGAAAATCATCTATATAATGTACATAGTTTGTTTACTTTATTGCAGTCCTTCTCAAATAGTGGTGCCCTGGCATCGCCCCTGGAACATGCTTTTTTTTTGCCGTACTAGAATAAAGTGTAATTCCACATCCACTACAGTAGTTGGCAGTGACACTCTCATTGTCAGCGTGTTTGTAGGGAGCATTAGCACTAAAGTGTCGAGTTTGTCAAACTGTATGTAAAGGGTATGTAGCTACACTGTGACTATGGTAGAAGACGAGAAAAGACTGGTGTGTTTACTGTGTCTAAAAATGTTGGCAGCGGACAGCATGAAGCCAAATAAATTACGACATCGCTTAAAGACATTACACCCCAATCACGTTGATGAGCTGCTTGGGTTTTTTCATCGAAAACATGCCGAATATTGCCAACAATCATCCCGCTTTGTGAATGCTGCTTCAGTAAACCAGCGAGCACTGTTAATATCATATAAGGTGGAGTACCAAACAGCAAAGGAGATGATGCTGCCGAACTATAACACGGACATCACCGTTAAAGACGAGGAGGACACAGGAGCGAACCGCTTCATGACGCAGGTGAACGTAGCATGAAATATGGACGGACCTGTATGTTTCCCGGGAGTCGCTTTGGAGACGTCGCGACTAAAACATTTTCTCTAGTATGTTGGGTACTGAAGGCGACGGTGAAATTTGTCCACGTTTAGTAGTGGTTCTGTGGAGGAGTGGGGTGTGAAATGTTTTTTTCTCCCTGGGGGGGCATGACTAGCCAGGCCGGCACCACCTAGTGCCTCCTTTCAATTTAATTTCTCTCCAGCGACCAGGTCAGGAATCAGTCACTAGACAGTTTGCAAGAACCCTGGAAGTGCAAGTTTGGGCACCAGCCAATCAACAAAGAGCCATATGTTTCGCGTTGGCAAAGACTTACCAGATCGAGGATTTAAAGCCGGAACAAAGAGAATGTTTGGTGAATTTTATCAAGGTGAAAGACGTTATTGCCCTTCTTCCTACAGGATTTGGGAAAAGCTTAATATACCAGTTAGCTCCGTTAGCAGCGCATTACATACATCACGACTAAATAGCAGCGATTGGTTAATTTTTAAAAAGTACACGCCTACCGTCGAGCGAACGAATTCTAACGCTGCGAGGTTCGACAGTTTCCACACACATTAGACAAATTTATTACCAGGGTGAATGCAGCCTTATAGTTATTCACAACTAAACAATGTCACATACACAAACACAGAAAATAAATAAGTATTTGTTTAACCAAGCCTCATAAGTAACAAACTGAAGACTCATTTCACCAGCTCCATAAACACCCTCTAATTAACCTCCTTTGATTGTCTATAAAACTCAGAGGGTCGGATCAATGGAGGGGGGAGCGTTGAAGTTCTCTGCAGTAAAATTCTCGCCTGGATACTGCAGACTGGAGCAGAGCAGAGCCAAACCAACGCGGCATAGGTCTTTTCATGAAGGAAGAGGAATTAAGTAGGATATAAGGGCTCAGGGCTCTCCCAGCCTCTGCCATACTGAGTCTAATAATGAGGAGCAGTTTGAACAGCTTTCACAACTTCACCTTGATTCATGTGATCCTTTTAAGTTCTTATAATTTTAATGATCACATAGAATTTTATGTAGGAGCTACTTAAGGGGCCCATATTACACTGTGTTATAATGTGGTTTCATTATTAAAAACATACCTGCAGTTGTGCTTTGTTCCATTCACACATGTTTAACACACAAACAGAGTTATTTTGGCTAAGTTCTTCTCTCAAACTGAAAACACTCTGTTCCATCTTGTGATATGATAACACAAAAAGAATACAAGAAGTGCTCCAGTGTGTTTTTTAACTCTGTATAATACTTTCACTAGAATAATTTGGATAATTTCAGCCCTGGAATTACTGTCTCTACTGAACTAAAGGTAAAAGGAGCTGTTAACTTAGAACTACTAAAACTACCACTACATGACATCACAAGGTGGAACAAGAATCAGCTGGAAAGTCCCCCTAAATTGTACCTTTTATCAAAGCTAGTTAATCTATATACATATAAATACATATAAAATAATAATAATAAAATGAAAAATAAATGATGTGGTTCTCCTGTGTTCTCAATAAATGTGCTACAACTAGTTCAGGATTTTATCTTACCGTTTTTCAATGAAATACAGAGTTAAGACCTTCCTAAAAGTGATTCTGAATGATTTTTGAACAAATTCTGTAGCTTTTTAAGTTTCTTTTGTTGCGCTGCTCACAAATTATGTTCATGGCAAGCAGGAAATAAGGAAATAATCAACAGTTACAGATGCTATAGGACATTTGGAACAAGCCTGGGTATCATTTAAGAAGTTGCTGATACAATATATACCTCGATACACAGGCCATGATACGATACATATCTCAATACAGTGAGCTTTCGATACAATATATGTCAAATTGATTTGATAAGGTTCAGTAAAAAAAATAATGGCTAAATTGTGCCATGTGAAGCCTTTGTTAAACCACTTCTTGTGCAAAGTTCATATGAAACACAAACATTTTAATCCTCAAAACAGTGAAAATGTCAAATGTGTTACATAAATAAGTTTTCTTCCTCTAAACAAACAGCAAAACTGTAGCACTGTAACAAAATAATTTGGTAAAATATACCAAAAAACACTCTTAGTGATATATCGATACAGCAGCCCACGATATTGATACTGTATCATCACATTAAACAATACGATATATTGATATTTTGATATTTTTGCACACCCCTAATGGGGAACAAGAAAAAAATATGATTTCATATAAACTTCTGTGAGCAAATGGTGATTATATTGATATTACAGACTGAAAAACTGTGTGCCACTTTGGGAAGATCGGTAAAATGACATAAACAAGGCCCAACATTTGGTCTCATGACATTCACATTTCATTTTATTATGATACATAATGCCGATTTTCTTACTACATCAAACACTAAAGGCTGGAGAGAATGTCCCCCCTCTCCTGGACACAGGAGGTACCAGGAGGGAGGAGGGGGACGTTCCCGCTGAGAGAATGGGATGCTCGAGCTGGGACTTTTAAGCCAGGGGGACGCTCGAGCCGGTATTCGGTGGAACAGAGCATGTTAAGGTGCTCCCTCTAACTCCTCAAGAAAAGTTACATGGAGCACATTTAACTGAATTAATCTGACAGCAAGACTTTATTTGCTAGTTGTTGCAACAAAATATTGTGGTGTAATTGATTGAATTTTAATCAAATCATGTTTCAATCCAGTTTCCTACAACAACAGTGGATTTGTGAATGCTGGGAATTTTTATCTTTAAAGTGGATTTGATACTCTATCTTGATCCTGAATTTGGTTAGTTTATTAGCTGATTACTTAATATAATAGAGTTTGTGGCTTAACGTTTAAAAACTTTACCCTGTTACTAGAAGATTCCTGGTTTCCTAGGGTCAAATTCATACTTGTGTTGTTTGGTTTGTCAACTTCTAAGCACCTTACCGTACTCTTGCACTAAATGTTAACTGTATTCCAGATCTGAGAGAATCTGTAGCATTAGTATAGGATCCTTTTACATTGACATTGCACTTTCTTGTTACTATAGTTGAGCTTTTGTTGCCTTTCCCCTACTCTGATATGCAGATAGATGTTTGCAAATTCTGCCTTATCTCCATATGACCTCGGGGGACTGAGCTACTCCCCCCAAAACAAGCCAAATTCTCATTCCCACCAAGCCATTCTGCGAGAACAGTCTCACTATTGTTGCCACATAATCAGATGATAATTTTTCTCTTTTTTTCCCAACTTGCTTTGTTTCTCCTTTGAAGCACACGAATACAAAACATCTAAGAAGTTGACCGACTACTCAAAGTTGTCGCACTGTGGAGTTGTGATAAAACAGCATCTTATTTAGTGACAGCAACTTCAGTTAAAAGCATTGTGGGTGTTATATCCAGACATTAAACAAGCAATGGTAAATATAGAACTGTGTGAAGAAACTAGACTATATCCCTATGAGGTCTGAGGGTGTTTTTTTTTTTTTGACTCATCTAGGAAACACTGAAATAAAGGAGATTAAAATTAAACCCTAGATCAATATCTCCTTTTCCTTCACCGAGAAAGAGCTAATTTTCCTGTGTAGAAAGTTGGTGACCTTGCAGGATGTATGGGGGAGCATCAAGGAAGAGTCTTTTGTTTTACGAAATAAAAAGTACTGACAGTTTTGGTTAATCTTTTTAACGGCTTGTACCTGATTTTTTCAATGGATTACAGCACAATTTGTCTTGAAACACTGTACAAGCAGCTCTCAGTGTTAAAATTAATCCACTGCTGCGTCTAAATAGAGCGTTTTATTGTCTGATAATCAGGAAGTGCACTGTTCGCTTGCTTGTTTTTGTTATCCTGATGGCAAAAATCTGCTCTAGCCTCTGAAAGTTGTGAAATGTGTCTGTAATAATAAGGATAATTAGGTAAAAATCAGGTACAGTGCCTTTAAAGCAGTAAAAATTAAACCACATAACTAGAGGTTGGATAAAAAATATAAAAAACATAACATTTTATAGCCCATTCATGTTTTGTGCGACACTTGAATCTCATTCAAGCCACATCTGAGCACATTCCAGATACATTGTTAAAATACTGTCGGAACACGAAAAGATTCATTTTTGTGAATATCGCGCCCCTCTACACACAGCTACTTCAAAAAGTTTTTAATCAGTTTAAAGTGAATTACTTCCATAACCCCAAACCTAACCTTAACCTTGTATTTATGTTGAGTTTTTAAAATCAAGATAATTATACTTTATGTTTGGCCATCAAGTTTGGCTTAAGTACGTTATTAACACAGGGCAGAATGATGATTAAATCAAGTATGTAATTAAATATAATTTCTTTGTAAATTAAACATTTGTTTGAGCTGAAAATAGTTCACTTCTTACACTTGTCTGGAGTTCATTTTATAAACAAACATGACAAAGAACATTACCAGACTTTGATTTGAGCATTTTAAACCGTGTTAACAAATAAGCGTTCGCTATGACATAAATGTGTTTAGAAAAAATATCTTTATAGTTGATGAAAAACTAAAATCTGGACAAATTTTGCATAATATAAATGTAAGTAGCATAGGCATGGGACAATAATACTACTAATAATTATAATACTATTTAAATTACAACAAAAAACAACAGTAAAGTTTATATTAATCACAGTTATTTTGGGTATGATAATCGTGGCACGCCTACTATGTTGAACTTAGAAATGCTTTGTAGGGTCTGGCCGATATATCGATTGGCCGATACCATGGGCAGATATGGGCATTTGGAGACATATCTATTGGCCTAAATCTTGCCGATATGGGCCGATAGTCCACGTGGGAATATTGTACCTTGTTATAAAGCTTAGACTCTCTATATTATGACAATTTAATCCAATTTAGAAACAGATAAATGTCCTGATGTGTGGCGCCGCATCAATATTTATCCACGGAGTAATTTGTCTGTGTATGTGACGCCGTACTGCCCCTGAACGCACCCCCAGACTTACGTCACTCGTGCACTTGTTTACAAGATCCATGTGCGCAACACTGAGGCGCTGCTTTAAACGCTCTAGTGTCTGATCCACAATACTGACTAAAAATAAAAATGAACTTCAGCGCAGTTTAGGCCACAAAACTACTGCTTGTGTTTTATCAGACTTATTTGTGAAGACTTATGATGAGTGCAGATATGTCGGTTTTGAGAGCTGCTTTTAGTTTTTTCTCATTGTTTAGCGATTAGCTGCTGTGAGCTCATAAACAGCCTGTTTTCTCTGACCTAGTGTAAAGCCACTATAGCAGCTGTACACACGTTACTGGACCTGCATTGCTATATAGATGAGTTGTGAATAGAGGTGTGAATAATCAACATTTACACACATAACTAATTACCATGTGTGCACGCATTACCGCGAAAGGCTAATAGCGGTAGTTTACTTACTTTGTTTACAGGCTAGAATGTGATGCAAAAAGGTCATTAGGTCAACCTACTGTCTTTAAATATGATTGTAAAGAGGCAGAGTAACAGTAAATGTCACCTAAACAAACCCATTTAAAATCCAGTAGAGCCAGACCTACGTTTTATAATCAGCTGAAGATTTACAGTAAATTTTTCACTAAATATATCGGCTTTTATATCCACTCTGAGCACCTTGAACTCCCATTTTCATATTGGCTGCAAAAAAATCCATATCGGTCGGGCCTTAATGTTTTGTAAATGCTAGTTTTCAAGCCATCAGCACCTTTTGTAGTTATGATTGTCATTGTCATTTGCCGTTGTTTTTGGTAAGATAATAATGACACAATATCATTCCACGGCTACTATACTTGGAAATGAACCCAGAACCCAGTGATCTCCAGATACGTGCAGTTGCTGAGCTTGTAGATGTGGAGAGGGCATGACACTTACGTTCAAGGCATTCTTAGCAGCCTCCGCCTCTGATCGACTGTCAAAGCTGACAAACCCCACCGGCTAGGGAGACAAAAAGACAGCACAAAAGACAAGAAAACGTGGTTAACGGCACAATACTGAGTCTGCACTTCTGTCTATGAAAAACAAGCACACGCACTCGGGTTTATTATTTTATTCTTCCTGTCCATCGTCTCTTGTTTACGCTGTGAGAGGAGAGGAGGAAAGGAGGAGGGGGGGCAGGGAAAGCTCACCGGACATTTGGATTTTACTAGGAGAGTTCATCGTTGTGCTCCCCTTTGTCCAAATATGGGCAATAAGCAAGAGGGGAAAACATGTGAGGAGAAAGAGAGACGGACAGACGAGAAGTGGCTCAAAAAGGAAAAGAAATGAAGAGGTAGAAGATGGTTTTAAGGGTTTTCTAATACGCGCCTGTCAGTCAGTAATCTGGGCATATTGATTTAGTGGATCGTGTTTCAAAACAAGTCCATTAGAGCTGCTACGATAAATCAACTATGTCAGAGCTGGGAACTGGAAAAGTACTTCAAATATGTACTCAAGGCAAAGTAAAATATTGTTTGAGTACTATAAGTCAATTTCACTTCTTATCTAAACTACCTACTTCATCATGCACCACTGCTCCTACTGCGGCCAAGATCTGAGAAACCTGCTCGCTACTACTACTGTTCTCTAATCTTCTGGCAAATTATTAGCCTGGCTCTTTGAACATTTTTACCCCAGATGCCCTACCTGTTGCTACCAGACACATGTATATGGAAACAGGTGATTACTGTGCTACTAATCCATAAAATCAAACACTGTACTACATCTAATTTAAATTTCTTAAAGCCCATTTTGCCAATTTTCTTCTAAGATGCAATACAATAATGTCATTTTTTAGGATTTTGATTTAGACCTGGTTTAGTCCTGGTTCAGTCCCGGTTTGCTTATTCCCAGGTTTTAACATGACGCATACGTGTGAATATATCAATCTAGTAAAACTAATTCATCTATTTTTTACTTTTACTCAAACTTTCTGTTTTCGAACTTTGGTTGAACATAAAAAGACGACATATTATGCCGCAGTGCACGAGAGGAAAATGAATTCTCTAAACATGTTGCTCCCATGGGGTCACGCGCTGCCTGTGATCTGGAAAAGCATTGCCGGGTTATGGGAATTTTGTACAAGTGGAAGAGAAGAGGAAGAAGAGAAGGAGGAGGAGGAGGGAGCAAAAACAACGGAGGGGTAAGTAAAGACGTCAGGAGTGTAACAGAATATAAATAGAAAGGCTGCGGCTCTTGCTATATAAGGAAATAACTGTGCGATGTTTGACTGAAAAAGAAGAAAGATCAATGGGTTTTAGGAAGAATTAATTTATTTATCACCATGGAGGCAAGACTAGTTATGGGTCAGATCTGTGCAGAGAGAATCCATGTGTTTCAATGTATTTTTGAGCAAACGCCTCTAATTGAATAAATGCAAAATGTGGGTTTAAATTAGGGACAGTCCTGAATTTTGGACATAGTGCCTCATTTCCTAGTGAGCCAGAGTGTTGGAGACGTGTGGAGACACTTTATTAAATATTCCATCCAGACCTTGTATTTGCAGAGGTCACTGGTGCTAGGCTAGTGCATGTCAATGGCCATAGTTATCCTGCTGCTAAAAACAGTCTTACCCACTCCACAAAACACCCGAAGCAAATCTATTATTATGCCAGACTGCTGATTTAAATGTCTGTGTTGATAAAATAATTTTAGAAGTAAAAGCAACCTTGCATTTGAAGGATTTATGTCTGAGAAGCAGCGAGTTGTACTTCCTGATAGAAAGCTCGGCAGCAGCGGATGGATTTATGAGAAAAAAGTCCCTCAACATGCGAAAATTTATGAAGAACTTTGAATCTCAGTCAATACGACTAGTGGACTAAACCCCCCCCCCCAAAAAGGACAATATACGATCTCACAGGACTCTCAAATGAACTGAAGTTGTTTGTTTGTTTTCATTTTGTTTTGCTCTGTTTATTATGTCATATCTGTCCTATTTATAATACACGCATATATATATATATATATATATATATATATATATATATATATATATATATACAAAAGTCTAGATTATATTATTATTATTATTGCCAACTTAAAAATACAATACAATTTATCATATTATCAACTTTATCAAGTGTCCGCTCTTCATTCACTTACCCTATGGCTCTTCAGCGAATCTATCTCTGAAAAACTTAATATTGCAGTCAGACCACCTAGCCAACTACGCGTTACATGATGCAAGGTTAATTTTATTTCAAACATTATTCTATCAACATAGACATTTACACCGACAGTCTGGCGTAATAATAGATTTGTTTGTTTGTGTTTTGTGGAGTGGGTAAGACTGTTTTTAGTGGCAGGATAACTATGGCCATTGACATGCACTAGTGACCTCTGCAAACACAAGGACCAGATGGAAATATTTAAAAAAGTCTCTCCACATGTCTCCAACACTCTGGCTCACTAGAAAACAAGGTCCTATGTCCAAAATTCCGGACTACACCAGACAAAGCATCAATAAACACAAAGACAAGCAGGTGACAGACCCTCCACCAGAAAAGTTCCATCAATATTTTCTGGTGAATGGACCACCGAAGTTCAAAATCTTCAAATCTATCACTATAGAGATAAGACGGCAATGCATTAGGCCAAGTTACAGGTCAGATCTGTGGAGAGGCAAGCCCACTCACAATAAGAACTAATATTTTCAAGGTATATTCAAGCAATACAAATTCCTTTTGCAAATAAATGTAAAATAGATAAGTTTGTAAAATACTCAAGGCCATTGCAACATCGTCATCATCATGGAGACAGGTAAATGACCCCTCACAAGTAACGCAAGCAAAACAAGTTCACCTTTAACCGGAGGAAAAACCTAAGTTGTGAGGCCCGGGGCATGTTTTGTGAGGTCATCCCGAGTCAGGTGACAGTAAAAAATCACGATTATAAAGCTGAGGACAGGTGAACAGTTTAAACACAGACTAAGTATTCATTAACATGTAATAGTAAACTTGCATAGTCCACATTTTCAGCGTTAGCCTTTGGCCTTTTCTCAATAACTGGAGTCAAAGTTGCAAAGTAAGGCTTCAGAGGCCAGTAAAAGTGGAGTCAACAAAACAGCTGAACACTGCGCATATGGATTTTTCAATAGACATAGAAATGGATTAGATAAATCTTTGCTAAGGCTATTGTGATAGTTTAGACAATGTTTACAATAGCCATTTTCCAGCATCTGTAGAAAATGTGAAGAAAATGCTATTGTTGTACGGACACATGGGAAACAAATCAGCGTCATAATATAGCGATTGAATGTGTGCAGTTTCGGCCTTTTGTTTTGTATTTTCAATGTAGAATAGAAGCAAACTTTTAAAGGTTCTATATTGCATGAAATTGGCAGCAACAAAAAATATAACTGTTTAACAACTACATAATAGAGGTGTAACGGTACATGTATTCATGCCAAATCGTTTCAGTACAGGGCGTTTGGTTCGGTGAACGGCTATGCACAAGTGAGTTTGCGCAATTTGAGTGTGTTTACATTCTGCCACTACATGTGCAGCTACATGGAAGGCTCGGCTCTTTAATATCCACAAGAGAACTCGTCCGTGATTGGGGTGGCAGTTTTCTCGCAGAGCTTTATAGTTAGGGCGGCCTCCGAACCACGCGAATCCTTGCAAAACTACAGTTGTCGCACCCGGTCCTCACTCTTGCCTTTTGTCAGCACGGAATCTCATTTTATTTAACTTAGTATTAACAAGCAGCACTTTGCATTTATTTAATTTTCCCGTTTGTATAATGTTAAAGCTAATTGTTAATTTAATAAAGACACAAATTAACAACAAGCAAATTGTTTTCCATTTTGTTGCCATACTGAACCGAAAATGAACCAAACGGTGACCTCAAAAATAAGTTGTTGTTTTTTTTAAATGTGATTTTTGCATACCGTTATACCCCTACTACATAACTAAGTGTTTTTTTTTGTGTTTGTTTTTTATTGCTTTGACAATACCTTGAAAAACATGTATTCTTACAGTGAGCGCACTCGCCTCTCCACAGATCTGACCAGTAACTTAGCTTGGTGGTGTTACCTGCTTGTCTTGTTGAAGATAGATACATTTAACGCAAAAAAAAGTGAAAAACATCCTCGTGTAGAAATGCAGCCCATACACAAGAAAACCCACAAGAAAACTTACAAGTTTAACAGTATATTTAAATCAAATCTAGATCATATCGAGTTAAAATTTGTGTGAAGAAGTGATCTGTAATATGGATTTTCACATCTAATTTGCATCAGAAAGCGAAATGTTTTGTAAGCTGAACATAATTGGTCTCAAGGTGTAACCGAAACAACTATGATAAACCCATCTACTTATGTACTTGCAACAGGATCTTAATTGTTGCAAAGGAAACATTAATCCTTTCTTCTAGGTATTACACTCACTGTATGGGATCTAAACTGTCTTAAACCCCTCTAATGAGCATGTCATGTGTTTATAGTATACATTAGAGCGGCACGGTTTAGGGAAAAATAAATCAGACAAGCGTTAATAGAATTAGAATTAGAAGATTTACAGTTTAATACAAGTTTAGTGTTAAAAGTAGGATTCTGTGTGAGAGAAGACTGAAGTATGAACAGTTAAGCTAATACAAGAATCTCATGCATTTCAGGATATGTTTATAGAGGTCTACTGCAGGTACACCAATATTTTTCTATACAAAGAGGGGATATTTTGTTCTTTCCAGAGGACATTTTATCATCTACATAACTGCGATTTGATACTGAGATTGGGATTTTGCTTTGATTGTGCAGCCCTAGTATACAGAAAGTGGAGTAATAACGTGTGAAACTAAATGTCTTCACTTTTAGATCACTGGCAATCTAATTTTTATCCCATCCCCCTTGAGGTAAAAGTCAAAACTCGTCAGCAGGGCTCTTGTCAAAACACTGACTTCACTGACACCTTTAAAATGTTCCTTCCTCTCACTGTGTACATCCCAACGGAGCAGACGACTCCTTGTGATTACGAGTGAGTATCCTAGTGCCAAAGGCAAGTCGGCACAGAGTCCGCCCAGCCCCCTCCCTCCTCCTTCTGTAAACTTTTCCAGGTAACTTCCCGTAGAAAGCCGCTAATCTTTCACAGCTCAGAAAGATGTAAAGGTGTTGATGAAGCTGATGTTGACGAGATGCCTAACCCAAGCAGTGACTGACGAGTGACTGTATGTGAATATATGTGTCAGAGGCATACCTGTTTCGAAGTGAGTTTTATCAAGGAGCCTTCATAGCCCTGCAACAAAGAGAAACAAGGGATCATTTAGAGGACAAAATGCTTCATTTATATGCGTACTGGTGGTGCCACGTTACTAGAATATCCACCTTAATATTAATAGTGATGAAAAAAATGAAAAACGAAATACTAATTTAACCACTTGACGCCTGAAATTATATAGATGTATGTATAAAAAATGTTTGGTTTTTGTGTTTGCCTTTATGTAGATTGTAAATTAAGTTGAGATTATTCATTTGACTATAGCAAAAAAAAAAAAAAAAAAGTTGCAAAAAAACAAGTAAAAACAAGTGCTTGCCAAAGGTTCCTAGGAACGTCTTGCATGTGCACTAACCAGGATTTGGGGAATGCAGTCGCTATCTCGACTTACATCTTGATCCATCCAAATGGTTTGTCGCATATTTGTGACAATGGGCGTTAAGGGGTTAAATATCACAACAACAAAATATTTACAATACATTTATAACAAACATTGATGTATTGGTGTCATACAGTAAACTCCTGGTCCCTTCACACTCTCTGTATTATTCATTATTTTTACCATGTGGTTCATATTACTCTATTTTTTGGATTTATGTTACAGTATATTGTCGTTTTCTCATCAAAAACACACCTAGAGTTTTCATTTACACATGTTTAACACAAAATCCTCAATATTTAGGCTGAGTTCTCCTCTCAAACTGGAAACACTCCACCTTGTGATGTCATGTGGTAAAATAGCAAATGCTCCACTGTGGTTTTAAACTCCATATACCTTCAATTGGATAATTACAGATCTGGAACTGACAACCTCTAGTAAATGGATGAGAACTTCGCAGATCAATTACTTGAGACGCGTACGTTGGGGGAGAGAGAGCAGCCCAAGAACATAGAGAAAAATCTTGCACACGGTCTTACTTGCAAATTGTGAGATTTATTAGGACAAACTGCACAACGTTTCGGCACTAAGCTTTCATCAGGCAACCTCTTGTAAATAAAAGATAAAAGGTAGCTGTATACTTGAAACCCACTGCTTAATGACATCACAAGTTGGAACGGAGCATTTTAGAGATATAGACAGACTAATAATAAAGGGTTACTCAAACACGTATGAATGAAACTCCAGGTTTGTTTTTGATGAGGTAACAGCATTATACCATGGATTTAAGTGCTCTCTATTCTATCTATTGTTTTTTCTAATGGAACAATATAATAACAACTTAATAATAAATACTATAAATAATCCCTGAAATGTATTCTGTGTTTCCCAGATGCCGACTGAATGCACTGACCACGTTTTATAGTAAATTAGTAGTAGGTAGTAGTACTGTAAATTTTATAGTCGTGTTAAAGTCAGTGGTTTTTCATAGCGTTGTATCAATAATGATACACACATATTTCTTCCACTGTGGAATTCTTGGTATAACATTGCCTAAGCCAGGTACTTTAACACTAAATGAAGACCATATGGGCCGTATTATGACGTCTTTACCTATGATCTGAGATTTACGGCTTTCAACACTCATGAAACAAGCCATTTACTACACTACAGTATTCTCTAAGTGAGTGATTGGATGCATAGCAATTGTTCCATTATTCATTTTAACCATGCTACTGCTGCTTCCATTAAAGAGCATTTTGGCAGGGCACCGGTCCAAAAAAGCTTCCTCCTCGTATGTTAACCTGTTACTACTGTTGTGATTGAGTAGATCTTATTCTGCTGAAATAAATAGCCTTGTTTTTCCCGAATCTAGGGTCAAAGGGAGATCTGTGAAGCTTCAAGGTCTTATGTTACACAAAATGGACTCCTGTGAGCTTTAAGCCATGTTATAATGTCCTTACCTTATCAAAAACACCTTATTTCAGTCACACATGTTTGAGTAACACTTTATTATTAGTCTGTCTACATCTAGAAAGCTAAAAATGCTCCACCCCACCTTGTGATGTCACGAAGCGGTAGTTTTCATATTAACATTTACCTTTTAGCTTTTGTCCAGCAGAGATGGGCAATTCCAGATCTGATCCAAATGATTCTAGTGAAGGTGTATGGAGTTTTAAAACTGAGAAGAACGCAATCTAAAAATTTGAATATGTGTGAATTAACCAAACACAACTTCAGGTTCTGTTTTTGATGAGGAAACAACATTATATCACAGAATAGAACATAGCATAATATGGACTCTTTAATAGATTTAAATGCATATGACAGGTTTTTATGTTTTTCTAATTATTACTTGGTTTCGTGGGATAGTATTTGTGGTAAATACTTATCATAGTTTTACATCAGTTAAGTGGCTGGTTGTGGAAAGAAACGTTGAAAAGAAAAGTAGAAAAATACAAGAAGTAGCTGTGAGATCTGAAAGCTCTACTTGTGAAACCAAAACTGAAAATACCATCCAAAATAGAAACAATGTAGATGAAAGGAAGACTTTTTATGACAAACTGAACACTCAAAACACAAAATAAGGGTGTTGTAATTAATTTTGTATTAGTCTGATGATAACTATTATTCAATTTAGATAAGTTTTTGTTAAAGGTCCTATATTACGCAAAACTGACTTGTTACCTTAAAAACAGACCTAGAGTTGTGTTTTGTTTCATTCCCACACATTTGAGTAACCCTTTATTATTATCTTGTCTACATCTCCAAAACTCACAATGCTCTGTTCCACCTTTTGATGTCATGAAGCGGTAGTTTACAAGCTACCATTTATATTTAGTTCAGTAGAAATGGGCAATTCCAGAGCTGAAATTATCCAAATGATTAAAGCGAAGGTGCGTGGAGTTTAAAAGGTTGCAAGATGGAGTGTTTTCTGCAAATTTTCTCAGCCTAAATAGACAGGGTTTAAGTGTTAAACATGTGTGAATGAAACAAAACACAACTCCAGGTCTGTTCGTGATGAGGAAACAACAATATAACAAAGATCGGAAAATAGCGTAATATGGGTCCTTTAACATTTTGCTTGGTAAATAGGTAAAAGTTATGAACTACCTGGTACTCCTGTCTAATCAGGAAGTAAAATTATAAACTATAAACACCAAAAAAATAAACAAAATAGAAAAAAACTACACATAATTGTTAGTAAAATGTTAACTATATTTATATTATCTAAATTTTTGTGACATACACACTTAAAGATGTGAGTGAAACTTGTGCTTTAGCAACACAGATACTCGAAACCTCCGCGGAGATTTTTCCATTGCCTTTTATTTCATCACCATTAATGGAGGTCCAATTGACTTGTGGAAAGAAAGAGAGGCCCTAAGAATAGCTGGTGAGCCCCCATCCGTTTAAAACATACAAACATACCTTAAATGGTCTGAAGAGGAGATAGAGCTCTCGTGGCTTAATATCCAGAGGTAGCCCACTGACAAATAGCGTTCGGACCTGCGAGAAGACAGAGGGGGGAGAGAGATCATGTATTTTTCATTAACCTCCACTAGTTATAAATAGCCACCTTGATACCTGACAGAAACAAATGAGTTGAGGAGGGAGGAACAGTTTTCAAGGCTAGCTTCGTAGTAAAAGACAGACTTATGTTATGTCTTTGGGGTCGGGAAAACATCCGTATTTCAAACCATAAGTGCATTGTATACTTTTGTGTAATCTATAGCTGGTCGAATTTTATGGCTGTCCTCCCTCGCAGCGCTAGCCTCTATTTTACATTTGAACTTTTCAACTTGCGACTTGCTTGAGATGTTGTTGCTTTTGCAGGGAATTACAATGTATATGTTAATGGTAATGCTAATGTGTAATTTTTCTAGAGGGAAGTACGCTACCTGTTTGTGTCCTTGGAGATGTTATTGTTTTGACGGGAATGTCCCACAGTATGCCGTTTAACTCAGCCAATCTATAGTGTTCAAACAATTATAGGTTTCTATAGTTGAAAATACATAAAGTTATTCTGGATTCTTATTGTGAATATGATTGCTTTTCCATGGAGCTGAGCTGTAATGAGCGATGGGCAAAAATATCAAAATACTGTGATACTAAATTTGGTGATACAGTATCGTTCATCAATCATGGGCTGTTGTATCGATATATCACCAATATATTATTATTTTATTAGTATTATTTTATTAGTATAGTATTTTTTGGTATCATTTATCATCATTCATCATTTTTTTGTGTTGCCGCACTACAGTTTCATTGCTTATATAGTGGAAGGAACTTGTTTATGTAACACACTTGACTTTAATTAAATGTTTTGATGATTAAAATAGACATGTTTCATATTAACTTTGCACCAGTAGTGGTTTAACAAAGAAATATTGTTGATAAAATGTGTTATGTTGTTAAAAATAGCAATCACAGACTATCATAGGACCAGTATCATTTATAATTTGCCGATACGATACATATCTCGATACATAAGCCACAATACAATACGCATCTTGATACACTGAGCTTTTGATACAATAGATTCAGTTCAATAAAAATTAATGGTCAAATCATGTCTGTGATACTAAAAGTCTTTGTTAAACCACTTCATGTGCAAAGAGAATATGAAAAACACACACTTTACTCATCAAAACAGTGAAAATGTCAAATGTGTTGCATAAATGAGTTTCCTTTTTCTAAACAAGCAACAAAACTGTAGCGCTGTAACAAAATAATTTGGTACAGCCCACGATATCGATACTGAATCATCACAATAAACATTACAATATATCGATATTTAGATATTTTTGCAGAATATCGTATTGTGAGCCATGTATCGCATATCGTCGTGAATCGTCAAGGACCCTGTGATTCCCAGCCCCAGCCGTAACTATAATTAATTTGGTGATGAACTGATGGCTTCACCTATTTGTCTCCCATGGAGATTGAAATGTTTAATGCCGTACAGTGGACCATTCCAGGTAAAACGATAAGATCTATAAGGAGACAATAAGATGTGTGCCTTTAAGAAATTAAAATGTGTAGACTGAAGGTAGACACTCACACAGGGACTAACAACAAGACTGTGATGCTACATGTTAAAGTAAAAAAAAACTGTCACAGGTGCAGTGGAAGGTGAAGTCTATCAAAAGGAGAAAGATTTCAAAATACTACAGTATCTTGAACTAACATTTATACAATGGTAAAGCATGCATTCCCTCATGAGCACGTCAAAGTTATCTGAAAATACACAATAAAGCTGTAATCTGAACGAAACTGGCTAAACCCCAAATCTGTGAAGAGATTGGATATTCAATAGAGGTTTAAGAAGACATTTTCCATAACATGCTACTGCACTGTCAACAACTGTCTGTAATGAAGTGAAAGATTAGCCGTTTAGTGTCATCTTGTGGGAAACCAAAAAGAAACTTCTTATTGTAGACGTGGTTGTCTGGAGCTGGAAAACACAACCAGAGCCAAAGAAATCTTGTATAAACTGAGTGATGCTGATTTCAACATCTGATCAAACAGGAGTGCATTACTAAGACTACAAGTATTTGATAAGACAAAAGAGTACAGTGTGGCCTGAATGTTATGGTTCTGCGTCACTTTAAATGAATGTATGTTTGTTTGATTGTAATGATGCTCAATACCGATACCACAACAACAAAAAAACACTCTTTCTTTAGACAACAGAATGTGATTTTCAATATTAAATTTGTACTTTCTTTTTTATTTCCATGTGGACATACTCTAATACAGCTCAAGATCATTCTAAAGCTCTTCAGGAAAGGTTCATTTCTGTCCTGTGAATGTGAAAATTTCAGTATCGATACTTGCTTAAATGAGTATCTAACTTCATCACTAGTTTAAGTATTGATTTGTATCTGATTTCCGATAATCCTATAATGTGTGGATAGAATAATGTGCAGAGAAATGTTGTTTGAAAGATGTGGCAGGCAAATTACATAACACCCACAAATAAAGTTCAACAGGTTTATTTGTCTTTGTCCAGTTAAAGAGCCACTCACGCATGTAGAACTACTGTAAATGCCAAAGTCATAATACATGATTTAACCATATCAATCATTACTGGCAGTAAGTCTGACATAAGCTGTGACCAAGAGAAATTAGTCATTGACTTGTTCTTACCTATAATTTTACTGAAGTATGACAACAGCAGTTACAAAATCTAACAGTATGTAAAATGTAACTGGTCAATATTTAGTATAGATGTAACAATAAACGAAATATCATGATATCGCATCATCAGAAGTCTCACAATAATATCGTGGGCTGTCACAACATATCGAATTACAAATTTCTTCATTTAAATGCATTGTTTTACAGAAGCAATAGCTTATAAACATCAGGAACTACATCTCCCATGATTCATTTCAGCGCAAATAACAAGAAGAGATATGTTTTTTACTTGAATTCTTGGTATTATGACAGAAATAATTCACACCAAAATCTTGTCAAGGTATGTTAAAGGCAGAAACATGTCTTATCTACAATTTCATTAGCCTCTTCAAAATATCGCAATAAATACTGTGATAATATCGTACTGGGAGACTTGGATATCGTTACATCCCTAATATTTAGGCTTGAAATACATTGGATATTTATACTATATCATAGACAACCAATTGTGAAAAGATTTGAGAATAACAATTTAGCACAATTTTGTTTTATAAATGGACCAAAGATGAACAACAATATTTTTGAAAGCTCCTGAGTGCTTAAAACATGTTTAATTTCAGATGAGACTATTTTGTGAGATTGTTAATTACCAGGGGTGTAACAATATCCAAGTCTCATGATACAATATTGTCACGGTACAATATTTATTGGGGTATCGTAGGAAAGCTCATGATATGGTGGGGAGGCTCACGATTAGGGATGTAACAATATCCAAATCTCTTGGTACGATATTTTCACGATATATATCTCATGGTACGATATTTATTGCGATGTTTTGTGGAGGCTAAAATGTTACTTTTCCCTCTTAAAATGCCTTGACAAGACTTAATCCAAAGACTTAAAAGTGCTTGGAACTGTTATTTCTTCTTGTAGTCTGCACTGAAATGGAGCAAAGGATCATGGTCTGTGTAGTTCCCTCTGTCTTTTTTATTAGCTATTGTTGCACCATAACTCTTAATTTAAGCAAAGAGATTGTAATTCGATATATTTTGATGATTCACGAACTTTGACGATACAATATCACGATATTTTGCTTATTGCTTCATACTTATTAATTACTACATCTCAATTAACTGAAACATCGTCAAATTGTCAAACTGTTGCGAGAGATTGCCTCTGGTATCTTGTCAAACTGTGTACACCAACAAGCATGTTTGAGTTGCCCCAATATAAATTGATTTCTATTGATTACCAAGGTCTACAGTATATTATGATAATTACTCAGCACTGGTTGGTACAGTACGACACAGACAGCCCAAACGCATTAAGCCTCTCCCCATAACTCCACCCTGCACTCCTCCACTTTGAGAACCTGATAACTGCATTTGAATGTGAAATCTAATCATTTATTCAATAGCCCTATTCTATTTCAGGCTGATTTTCGGGCTAAACCCACAGCTATGCACTTACTCCGGGTAGCTCACGGCTTCATTAGATTCCGTATTCACAACTCGGGGGACAAAGGAACTGCTGAACTAACACTACACTTCATTCCCACATGTAACCTGATACAAGCTAAGCAGCAAAACACAAACAAAGAGGATTAGCGTGGCAACTAGGGGTGTAATCATAGTCAAAACCTGGGCCAAACATTTTACTACTCAGATTGGTATGTGGGAATGCCATACAGACAAAGTTATATCTGCTGTATATCTGATTTGTTAGTTTTTTATAATCCCAGTGGTAATATTTGTACATTTTTATCCATCCATCAGAAATACTATAAAATTTCTTGAGGTTGATGTTCAGATATTACACAAAACAAGCATGAGTGATCTTAAAAATGTGAAAAACTGAACTAGTTAATTTAAAATTGTTAGCAGAGGTTCACAGTTGTGACTCACTTTCCTAACGCATTTGGAGCATGCTAATTATTCACTGTAATGAGTTAATTCACATGAGCTTTTCACAACTTTCAAAGGCTAGAGAGCAGAGTTTTGCAGTCACGGAAACAACAGTTCTCTAATACTGACAGTACACCAGCATTACTTCCAGGTTAATGGGCAATAAAAGCGGATCTGTTTTTTCTAGACTTGCACAGTGTTTTTTAAGTTTTAAGTCTATGTTTTAATCGTTATGCATCTTGATTTTGGTTCCATATTTTCATTCTCTTACTGTTCTTGAACTTCGCATTGCAACTGTAAAAAAGAAGTGGACTAAGTGAATGTGATGTAGACAAATAAACAATAAACAATCATTGGCTGAGCGGTCAAATTCAGTAACGCACAAGTTGGCTGGTATGATTCCAGCTCCCACAGATGAATGCAGTCGTTGTGTCCTTGGGCAAGACACTTAACCTACCT